TGAGCAGAAGGCGTTACGCGTAATCGAAGTAGCAGCGCATGTTGTTCGCTAGCGCGTCTGATTCAGCCGGTTTGGCCTGTTGTCACGTGATTTTTTCGTCTTAGGCTGCATTTGGGAAGACCTAAAAGAACGTCACCGAAAGGTTGAATGACCTGTCGGGCAATTAATCGAGGGTGAATGTTCAGTAGATCAACATTATCGAAGAAGTAAGATTAACCCTTGTCTCAAAGATCTCCAGGCCCGGCTCCTTAGGAAAAGACAGAGCATGGGGAGCCAGGGTGGTAGGAACAATTAATTCTGCACAGAAGGGGTGGAGGATAGGTGGGAGGGGTGTGGCTCTCGGATGAGTGCGGTCCGCTCCCTAGTGGGTCGGGTCCGGAACCCCGGACTGATGACAGTCACCGCATTGAGAGCCAAAGACCAGATGGAGTGAGGCCAAGCTACTGATTGAGGCTAGTCTACTAAGGAAGGCATCTTATTGGACGTATTGAGGTCAGTCTAGTAGTGCGACGTCGCACGCGGACTTGAGCTCCTGGTCAGCAGAAGATGCACAAGAGACTAGCCTTCACTCGCCGAGCAGACAATTCAGACCAGGATTTGGTATCAGTTGGTGCTGGTTTCGGTAACCTAGGGCGGGCGACTGACTGGCATCACGTGGCCTCGTCTGTGGTGTCACGCATTGGGAGAAGGTGGGCTGCAGAGCCACTACAACGGCACTTTTTTACCGCAATAGAGTTACACTCGCAAAAGTCATCCTTTTAGCCTGTTCATTGTATTTTCTCAAATAGCCGGACAACTCATTTTGTTGTTGCCAGGGCAAGACCGTGAGGGTTCGTATTTGTTGATGGATTACTTGCTCCCCCCCCTGGCGCACTTCAGGTCCTTTTCGTGTAAAACTTTGAGGCACCGTGGGTGATATCATGCTGGAGACGCCTCATACGTTATAATTTATGCAGCCAATTCTTTCCAACTAGCATGGTACATTTCCACAAAGTGTATCTGATGGTAGAAATGGTGCTGTCCTTATAATGGCTTCCTTGAAGTTTCATTAGACTATGCAGTTTTGGACTATACTAAATGCAACGTCCTAGGGCCTGTCTTATTTCGCTTAACGAAACAGTTGAGCAGCAGGCACGCCTATGAATCAGATCAACTTAGACGAAGGCTGCCGTCGGTCTTATATTTCGTAGGCCCCAAACACGGCATATATGCCCATGAATCTTCTCGGATAGCCTACTAGTTGTCACTGAACTACTAAGATTTACCTGGTGGGCTGGACGTATAGGTAGTGGTGCATACAACAGCACTCGGGCTCCACAACGCAGTCCTGGATGGTTTGAACCACTTTCGTTCAACTCCACAATTATGTGACCAACAGCGCAATTGCATAGTGTGTACAAGCGAACCAGCTTATACTTGTCGTTCGAGATTACCCTCTGTCACTTCAAACCTTCTTGCGTCCCCGCCCTGCCGACAGATGCGCTGTGCAAAGCCGGTGAGTTGGGCAACCTCCACTCCATGATTTTACACCCAAAATTTTGCGTCTTTTAATTGTTTTTTCGTGTTAGATTTTTAATCTGACTTCCAACAACTTTATGCACAATCTTGATATCTTAACAAGAGTAGTTTTCACCACTCGGCTATTCAGGCATTTTTCCAATGAAATTTCGTATTTAAGACACGGGACGGAAACCCTAGTGACACATGTGGCCTTGCAAGACTTTTAGAAATTATTAATCCTAACTTGAACGAAAATCCCAACATTATCAAAATCAGAAGAAGAAGAAGAAGAAGAAGAAGAAGAAGAAGAGGAAGAAGAAGAAGA